TAGTAGAGACGGGGTTTCACCATGTTGACCAGGATGGTCTCGATCTCTTGACCTCGTGATCCACCAGCCTCGGCCTCCCAAAGTGCTGGGATTACAGGCTTGAGCCACCGCGCCCGGCTCGCTCCGCTAATTTTTGTATTTTTGGTAGACACAGGGTTTCACCATATTGGTCAGGCTGGTCTCGAACTCCTGACCCTGTGAGACGCCCGCCTTGGCCTCCCAAAGTGCTGGGATTACAGGCGTGAGCCACCGCGCCCGGCCAGGACTGCCCATCTCTAAACTCTAAGGTGCTATGCACATTTCGAAAGGGTCACTGTAAAGTCCTTTGTGAAATTTCAGGGAACGTGGTAACTGTGGAGGCCCATGGAGCCTCTGAGGGGCCCCTCCCTTCCCACGCCTGCAGAGGCCTGGAGGGCTCTGACCGGTGTCTCCCGCTCTCTCCAGCCTCCAACCCTGCGAGTGACCAGCTGTCCGCGGCTCTGTGGATCAGCAGCGCGGTGCTGGGGCTCCTGCTCCTGGCCTTGCCCACCTATCGCCTCTGGAAACGCTGCCGGCACCTGGCTGAGGATGGAGCCCACCCACCAGCATCACTGAGGCTCCTGCCCCAGGTGTCAGCCTGGGCTGGGTTAAGGGGGACAGACCAAGTTGGGAGCAGCCCCTCCTGAGTGGCCAGCCCTTCCCCCTGCGAAAGAAAACTCGCCCTTTCAAGCTGGAAACTGCTCAGGGAAAACTGTTCGATTCAAAGTCGTCCCTCCCTCTGAGATGGATGTTAATTCTGATTGCCTCCTTTGCAGAGGCTCGTTGGTAACTCATAAGAAAGCAACCGTCTGTCTCCCCTACCTGTGACCTGGAAGCCCCTCCCTGTTTGTGTGGTCTCCGCCTTTCCGGACGGGACCTACCTACTTCTTTGTACACACATTGATGCCTTTTGTTTCAAGCTGTGCCCAACAGCCCTGGGCACCTGTGGGCAGGACTGCCTGAGGCTGTGTCATGGGTGCGAAAATACACCTTAACTCTGGCAAATACACCTCCTAAAATGACTGACACTTGTCATTTTTCTCAGTGGACACCCACCCCGTGGAGAGCAGAGATCCGAGGGCTCTCCGGACAGCTGGAGGGCTGACTGTGGGGCCCTCCTGATGGCTCTGTCTCCCCCATCCCTAGGTCCAGGGCTGGAGAATAAAGCGCGTTTGGTCTGCCTGGCAGAGGTTCCCGTGGGGGAGGATGCTGGACCCGCCCCAACACACACACACACACACACACACACACACACACACACACCCCAGATCTCATTGCCCCCTGCCCAGGGCAACGCCCCTGAGGGACGGGACTGCACCCAGCGAGCTCTGCCAGGGGAGGGCCTAGTGGTTTCCCTGGTAAGAAGCTTAACCTGGAGTCTCAGAAAGCAGTGGGGAAGCGAGAAGCTACATAGAGGTGGTCTGGGGAAACACACGGAGAGGCGGCTTACAGAGGAGACTGCTTGTGTTTTGAGGTGGCTCAGGGCTGAGGAGGGCTGGGAGGGGCGGGAGGGCGGCTGGAAGCGAGGTCAGCCAATGAAGGGCTAGAGGTGCCAGCCCGGGGGCACTGGGGAGCCATGGGAGACTTTAGAGCTCTGGAGGCTGCGGTGTCAGAAAGCTCCCTCTGGCCGTCAGGAGGGTAACAGCCTGGGATGCTCGGCCCGGTGGCCTCCAGTGGGGCTCAGCGCGTCTGCAGGAGGGCTGGGGAGGGCGTGTCTCCCCGAGGTGAGCTAGCACTCAGACCAGCCAGGGTTCGGGGGAAGGCCCCGCTGAGCTCGACCCCCAGCACAAAGGCTCAGGGATGATCATCACAAAAGGGTCTGGGGGGGGCCCGGGCGCGGTGGTTCACGCCGATAACCCCAGCACCTTGGGAGGCCGAGGCGGGCGGATCAACTGAGGTCAGGAGTTCAAGACCAGCCTGGCCAACACAGAGAAACCCCGTCTCTACCAAAATACAAAAAAAAAAAAGGCCGGGCGCGGTGGCTCATGCCTATAATCCTAGCACTTTGGGAGGCCGAGGTGGGTGGGTCACCTGAGGTCAGGAGTTCAAGACCAGCCTGGCCAACACTGGGAAACCCCATCTCTACTAAAATAAAATAAAATTAAATTAAATTAAAAAAATACCGGGGCATGATGGTAGGTGCCTGTAATCCCAGCTACTCGGGAGGCTGAGACGGGAGAATCGCTTGAACCCAGTAGACGGTGGTTGCAGTGAGCCGAGATGGCTCCACTGCACTCCAGCCTGGGCGGCTGAGTGAGACTCCCTCTCGAATTTAAAAAACAAACAAAAAGCAAAAAAACAAAAACCAAAAAAAAACCGGGGGGCCAGGAGTGCCCGAAAGCAGAAAGCAGTGAGCGCACGAAGCTAAGCTGGGTTCAGCAGTCCGGGGCGGGTCCATCCCCGCGCATGCTCCACAGGCTGCTCTGGTAACCAGGGAGACTGGTTGCTAGGAGACCATACTGGTTGCTAGGAGACCATACTACCGAAGGACCCGCTCACTACCAAGCTGGCAAGCAATCCGGCTTCATGCCAGAAACGGAGCACTTCCGAGGCAGCCATTTTGGAGCCTGGCAAAACTGAGGATCCAGGCCAAAGCCAGGAGAGCCAATCAATTTACACAAAGAAGGAGGCGAAGAGAGAATGCCAATAAGGACACAGGGAAAAGGGCAGCGTGCTCCTGCCATTTCCCACAGTCTCTCAGCCGGATTCCCGCGCCCTCTGCCCTTCATCAAGATGGCCGCCTCGGGGGCTCTAACACACAGTGGAATATGGCGGTGCTTCCGGTCCCGCTGCCCTCAGCGAAGATGGCGACGGTGGAGAAGCGGCGACCGACGGTAATACCGCCGACCGGTTTCACGGACAGCGGCCGCCCGTCGGTGTCCCAGGCGGCGGGGGCGACCGAGAGCGAGGAGGACTTCCTGCGGCAGGTCGGCGTGACGGAGATGCTACGCGCGGCCCTGCTGAAGGTGCTGGAGGCGCGGCCCGAGGAACCGATCGCCTTCCTTGCGCACTACTTCGAGAACATGGGCCTGCGCTCACCTGTAAACGGCGGCGCCGGGGAGCCCCCGGGGCAGCTCCTGTTGCAGCAGCAGCGCCTGGGCCGCGCGCTGTGGCACCTTCGCCTGGCCCACCACTCCCAGAGGTGCGTAGCGGGTCTTCCTAGGCGGGTGGGGCGGTGGCGGACTTCAACTCGCAGCATGCCCCGCGCGGCTCCCTGCCCGCGGCGCCGGCGCGGGGGGCGCAGGGCCTGCTGGGAGTTGTAGTCCGCAGTGCCTTCTTGGCAGGGATGGACCGGACAGGTGGGCTGCCTGCGGCTCGAGCCCTTCTGGCCGGCTTCGCCTTCTGTGATGACTTTTTGCAGATGCTGAGATTCCCCTTGCAGTTCATGATTTTTAAAATCATGAAGCCCAGGGAGGACTTGGCCCGAGGTCGCCGAGCCAGCCCCCAGCCAGGTCCTCCTAGCCGCCTGGCATCCCCGTCTATTCGGCCAGAACGTGAATATTTACAGCGAGCAACCCAGTCACCCAGGGCCCCCACCTTAGGGGCCAGGGTCCCAGCGGGCAGGCGGGGATTCCTGGAAGAGCCTGGTCGTTCGCGGGGCGGGTTGCTGGCGAGAGGCCCAGCAGGTGCTAATTTAGAGCCCGAGTGTGGGATTGGCTGAGCATGCGGAGCTGCAGGTGCCTAGGCGCGCTGGCCCCTAGCTGGGCCTGGGGAAGGTGGCTGAGGAGTATGTGTTGATGTTGGGTGTGGATGCGTTCCTGTTTTTTGCCGGGGTCCCCAGAAACGGAGCCTGAGGCAGGCATTTTGTGTGCAGGTGATTTTATAAGGGGGTGCACCCAGGAAGGGGGTTGGTGCAGGCAGGGAGGATGCCAAGCAAAGGTGCCCTTTCAGACTGATAACCAGGGCATAAGCGCCCACCTTGGCAGCCCTCGCCAGAGTCCCAGAGAGTTTGAGGGGAGGTGGGGGGGAGTGTCCCCCACCAGGGTCAGGGTGCACAGGTGTCCAAGATCATACTCAGATAAGGGTGGCAGGGTGTTGAGGACCTGGACGAGGAGCAGGGTGGCGGGAGGCCCAGTGGCTCTGAAGGCCCCACCTGAGGATTTTCAAGGGCCCGGGGGAGGGTAGTGGGCAAGGGCAGGTCCAGAGCGTCAGTGGAGCCGTTTCCTGGGATGGAAGTCCCTGGTTTGAAGAAGCTGCCAGAATCACTTGTGGATTAAGTTGGAGGCTGGGAGGAGCCTGGAGACAGGAAGGAGGATGGAAGCCTTTGCAACTGAGACCCCGGGGCCACCACAGGAGACTGGACCAGGAGGGGTCCTGAAGGCTTCGGAAGAGATGAGAAGAGCTCAGGGCCACACTCTGACGGTGCCCAGCCCAGAGAGCCCATGAGAAAGGGTGGGAGGATGAGACCAGAGGTGAAGACGGGGCAGGAGGAAGTCGCCTCCCGGGACATCCGGAAGAGAATCTCCCAAGGAGGAAAAGAGGTCAACAGCAGGCCCACCATGTATGGTTGTTCAGGTCAAGCACTGCATAAGCCACTCGCCCCATAGACGGTACAGATGAGAGTATATGATTCCCAAGGGCTGCTGGGAAAACGCGGCTTGTGGCTCTCTCTTCCTCCGTCTTTCTGTTCTGTGTTCCCTCCCAAGGACACCGCTAGGGCCCACCCTACTCCTGTGTGAGTAGGCCCATCAGTCTGAAGTTCTGGATAGGCGTGAGTTTGACGGGCACCAGTCACCCTAGGGACACAGGGCCAGGGTGGTGCTGGTGGCCCTGGGCCCGCCTGGGCTCCCCAGAGACACGGCCAGCGGTGAATGCAGATGACAGGTGCATACACCTGGGCGGCATCTGATTCTGTGTGCATGGATCCAGGGCTGCTCCCGTCCTCCCAGTCCTTACAGCATCAGGAACCCCCAAGGTCACCTGGCCAGTCAGGAGGAGAAGCCCAGGGCTGTGCCGCTTTCTTCCCACTCCGTCCAGCGTGTGGCCCCCCCAAAGGCTGAGGGGCTGCTCCCAAGAGCATCACCACGACACACTGGGGGAGAAGTCACCCCACATCCTCTCTCTCCGGCTTCTTTTTAGAAATCACAAGCTCCCACGATCCGGGCTGGTGATGGCAGCTACAGTGTCCCCCTCTTGCCCCCTTCCTGGTGGCCTCCAAGGCCCCCTGGAGCACAAACACAGATGTTAGGTGACCTGCTCAGGGCCACAGGGCCACCCAGGGCAGAGCTGGGGCACATCACT